CTCTCCTCTCGAAGCGCGATTAAACACCCTAAATAAAGTTCTGATACCTACATTTTGCATTGCATTAAAAGTTCATGTTTGAGCTCAAAAGTAATATGTTGTGAACAAATTAAACAGATTTAGAGCCAGCCAATGGCTGACAATATGCATTTCAGTATTTTTTGACCAATTCTCATCCCTGTAACAAACAACAGTGTTGTCTGTGTCCACCTCCCTCACTCTGAGACATGTTCATTACCCTCTTGTAAAGTAGACTATTGCATTTTATTTTATTGTTGAAACTGCACATATCCTGATCCTCTTCAGTATTTGCTTCCACATACTCTATAAACTAGGAGTCGGCGACCTGCGGCTCCGGAGGCGCATGCGTCTCTTTCCTTCTGTAGAAGGAAAAACTTTCTTAACGTTTTTAAATGCTGTAAAATTGTGCATAAGTAATATTCAATTTAAACATTCCTGTCAACGTAGTGCGACGTAGGCCAGCGCCAGGCGGCCGCTGTTGTAAACAAACCGGCATGTGAGCTCTGCTTGTGTACAAGTCTCTCCATGGCCTCGAACCAAAATATATTAGTGACATGTTAGTCCCAAATGAACCAGCCCGGACTCTGAGGAGCACAGGGACTGGACTCCTGTTAGTGCCCAGAGTCAGAACTAAACATGGGGAGGCTGCTTTTCACATTCATGCTGCTAAAATCTGGAACAGTCTTCCTGAAGATGTGAGACAGGCCTCCTCTCTGACAATTTTTAAAACCAGGTTAAAGACAGTTCTGTTTAGCTGTGCATACAACTGAGGGATTTTATATTTATTTTTATCTTTCTTTTTAATGTTCTGCGATTATTTATGATTTTAATGCTTTCTTATTTTGTTCAGCACTTTGAGTTGCCTTGTGTATGAATTGTGCTATATAAATAAACTTGCCTTTCCTTGCCTTGACTGTGCGCATGGATCCCAAAGCTAAAAAGAGAAGAGTCGATAATAAGACTGGACTAAGAATGAAAATTAACATTTGATTTCAGTCAATGAGGAGGGCCTGCTTCATGTTTGCGATGTAATGAGAAGTTTCTATGAGATAATTGTATCTGTGCTTAGTAACTACAAAAATGGCCGCTCGGGGTGGAGTTGAACCTGTGTCACCTGGATGGGGGGGTGGTCAAAAGCGCCTCATTTGCATTTAAAGAGACAGCACCAAAACAGGTTGCTCTCAGACGCACCTCAGAACAGGTGTAGAAGAAAGGCCCGAGGAGCTACAAATAATGAGACTCAGACCCAGGCATTGCAGTTACGCTTTATATAGGCCACAAATTAATGATTTAGATGTAAAAATCAATTATTTGAAAACACGATATGTCCACTTTAAGAAGAAAAAAGTTCAGGATGACAAGGGACACTAAAATCCCCACAAAATCCGATCTTTATGAAAGCTGTAGGTTCTCTGTCAGCTGAGGTAAAGCTGTTTTAATTTACATTGAGTTCTATGGGACTTTTTTTTGGGTAGCCCGTGTGAATTTAGTCTGCAGTAACACGGGCGCCCCCTGTGCCCATAGGTGGGACAGCTATAAGCTAGTAATACCCTATCCAGTTATTATTATAGATCCATGGGTGTTACTGACTTTAGGAATGGCTGCTGTAACGCTATAAACACGTGTTATAAAATTAGATGTAGTTCCCGAGTTCACCAGTAGGTGGCAACACACCAAAGCATTTTGACACGTTTCTGAGCAGTGTTGCCAACTTAGCGACTTTGTCGCTAGATTTAGCGACTTTTCAGACCCCTATAGCGACTTTTTTTCAAAAAAGCGACTAGCGACAAATCTAGCGACTTTTTCTGGTGTTATTGGCGACTTATCTGGTGTTTTGGCGACTTATCTGGTGTTTTGGAGACTCGTGAAGCACGTATTGTTCTGCTGTCCTCAACGTGAGCCCCTCCCCCGTCCCAAAGCACTTACAGGCGGCCAGTCTCACAGTAGCCTTGCGCAGCAGTCCCAGCTACAGTCTATGGGCGGAGCAGAGAGAGAGAGAGGAGACTCAAAAGCACAGGAAGTTTTCAGGCTGCTGCAGACTGAACTTCAGCTCCACCACCACCACACATCCAAAGCTCCCCGGCCACTCCTACCACCGCCACCCCCCACTACCCCCCACTCCATCCGCGGCAGCTCTGTCCGTGACTCTGTTTTCTCTCAGTAGTGGGTCACATTAAATCATTTGTTATGCCAAACTATGAAAAAAAAAAAAAAACTTACAAAAATAAACCTAAGTAACTCTGCCAGAGTGTGTCTTTTGGGTCACTTTGCCGGTCCCAAGCCCGGATAAAGGAGGAGGGTTGGTTGTAGAGCTAGCAATTTCACCCTACATAACAATCTTTTGATTACATTTGCTGTTATAACATTTAACAATACAGGACAAAACTGATGTGTGTAATGTGGATCTAGACAAAGCATTAAAATCATTAAATGTTGTTAATGTTGAAATTATTTTTGTACATTTGTAGTTCTAAACATATTTAGGGTGTTTTTACTCACTTTTGTCTCTCCCACGACCTTATTCCTCTCTCCTACAGCGTCCGTTACAGTTATTTGCAAATGGCAAATTATGCAAATTCGGCGATGACGTCATTTAGCGACTTCTAGCGACTTTTGGGACAGCCAATAGCTACTTTCCTTACTGAGGAGTTGGCAACACTGTTTCTGAGTTTCTCTGGCATCCATCTTGTTAAGCTGTGCACTTCATATTGAGACTAAACAAGAGGTAAACTTTGGATAAAAGTAATTTTCATGCTTTAAATTAATTTCGAACCTAACTCAGACACTTATGAATATATTCTGCAGGACCTGTGAATGTTTGAACCAGTTGGAACTTAGATGAAAACGTTTTGAACCTTGAATATCCTGGTGAGTCTAGACCACGATTTCCGTTGTGTTTATTGTGTTGCTGATAGAATCTCTAGTCACGAGTAGAAATGAATTTGTAAACCTTGTTGATGATAAAAACCAGTCGGGATAATGTTGAATTGTTAAAATTGACTACTGAAAGAGTAGATATATTAGTATTATTTGTGAAATGCATTCAAAACATTGACAATGACCTACCTACTACACTTTATTACGATTACACATAAGTGCATTTATGTATCATGATATTTGGTGTTATTTACCATACTCTAATTTAGAATTTTGCCAGTTATTTGAATAGTTAATCCCATATGGAAGATAAATACTTTTCTTTGTGAAACGAATGTACAAGTTTTGTTTTAATATTATTCTAGTTTTATTATCCCTGCTGAGGATTTACATTCTGTTTGAGAAATGGACAATAGTATGAATAAGAACACAAAGACTGATTTGTAGTACATTTTCTGCACGTTTTGCAGACTGTTTTTTTTTTGATAGACCACACAACTGGGCCCGATTCCTGTTCCTGCTGGGACTGGATGATTCTTCTTCGTTAACTCTTGGAGTTGAATAACCCATGTGCTCGGGGGATTCTCGCGGTACTGCAGACTAAACCAGACTGAATTCACGTGGGCAACCCAGAAATGTTTCCCATAGAACTCAATGTAAACTAAAACAGCTCGACCTCAGCTAACAGAGAACCTACAGCTTTCATAAAGGTCTGATTGGGTGGGGATTTTAGTGTCCCTTGTCATCCTGAACTTTTTTTCTTCTTAAATCCTTCGGTTGTCTTTAAATCTACACTTTAGTGCCACAAACTCTGCCCGTCTGGCTCCCACTCTAACTCCCGCTCTGATGAGCAGCTCTGATTGGTCAGAGCACGGCCGAGCCCCTCTGTGCGCGTGCATGACAGCCACACACGCATGTTTCACGCAACGCATCATGGGAGTTCATCCACTGCGCAGAACCGGGAGGACCAGACGATGCCCAAATACAAGCGAGTTTCCCATGGATGGGAGTTCCAGGCGACTTCCGCTAATCTTTTCGGCACCCATGCCGGCACAAAGCCCCACTGAGCACAACCATTCATTTGAATACGGCGGGGCTTGGTCCACCTCCTCGCCTAACAGCGCTGTAAAGATTGCATAGAGTAGCAGCTCACTTGGACACTGATCTTTGACACTTATTTTTTTTATTTAATTTCCTGAGATCTCAGAATTAATATTGTGGCCGATCTGTTGATTAATTTGTTTTGAAGTTTCAAATGAACCAGTATAATCAGAAATACTAACTTGGAGTTAACCTCAAAACCTGTTGTTGTGTGCTTCATTGGGGTGGAATCTACCAGTTACTTAACTGTTGATCTATTTATAACCAGCCTCCTTTTCGAATCTAGATTTAGATAACCTTACCATAGAACCTTAGACTGTTAACTAGCAGAACGACCATCGTAGGGTTACACTGTCAAAGTAATGTGTGCCATGTGCTTTGTCCTCTGTAATTGACCTACAGATTTATTGCTCTGTCCATGTGATTCTAGTTGCCTAATTGTTGGATGTAATAGCTTTTAAATGACTTTTTGATTGTTTCTGCGGTTGAAACACAATTAGGTTGGTATCACTTCTTGAAGCAGAACATCTTGAAACATTGCTAAAAGACTGTGCTTTTCCTGTGTGAAGCCAACAATTGGATCAGGACGACAAATGGACTGAGTGAACAGGCTGAAATTCAGTTAAGGCTTCTGGGTTTGTTTAGGGCACTGCTAATGCTGTTGTGGCTTGAGCTCAGCAAAACCTGGTCTTTACAGATACATTGGCAAAGTGTAGAAAACTATTCATTATTCCAACACAAATAACATTATGCTAGTCAGAACATTCTAATACATGATTGCAATAGAAAGACACGTAAGGGTTTTACAGTGAATTAAATCAAATGTTTTTATTAAATACAAAATGGTTCAAAACTAAAATATTTAGAAAAGCTATTTTCATTGCTTTTGTGCAGTCTATTAACTATCTTGCTGTGAACTGTTCCCTGTGATGTTTGCTCTAACACTGCAGCTGCACTGACACTTTCACTCACTCCAAAATGACCATCTGTTGTATTCACAGAGGCGACCATCCTGAGCTACGACGGCAGTAAGTTCATGAAGGTGCAGCTGCCCGTGGTCATGCACACCGAGGCTGAAGACGTGTCCCTACGCTTCCGCTCTCAGAGGGCCTACGGCATCCTCATCGCCACCACATCCCGGGAGTCCGCAGACACCCTGAGACTGGAGCTGGAGAGTGGACGAGTGCGCTTGACTGTCAACCTAGGTAACGCCTCGGATGTAATGTGTGCCAACAACAGCAGTCACTTACACTGGGCAATGATAGAAGCAAAATAGCATTAGATTTGGCTCAGTCTCTTGAATAGAAAGAGATTGTTTAGATGCTTTCAATGGCTGAAATCTGCGGTCACTGCGCTCACTGCCAGATGAGCACACAAATGTCCAGACAGGGAATGCTCGCTGCTATTGGAAATCATTTTTTATGAATCCTTTATAGAAGCGCTGATGCAATCAAGTAGAGCTTCAGGCATTCACTTACTACCTTTTTCTGCATTATTTGACAAAAACGTGGCAACCCAACACAATATACACATTTGGAGCACATTCAAATTGCTGTTATCACGCATTAAGACACTAGCCTTTTATATTGTACAAGCTACAATTCCTTAACTGGCTCTGTGAAAAGATATTTCAAATATTTTTCATAGGCCTGTCTAACAGCCGTGATTCCACAACCAATGGAACTGCACCACGAGATTTTTTTTTTATCATTCATTGAACCTTTACATGATGACATTTTTCTGTAGTTCTTTGGCAGTTCTCAGAATTGGTTTTTGATATCCACCTCATGCCTTCAGCTTTAGTGGACGGCACATATGCATTATGTGCCGGTCCATGTGTTATTTGTGCAGAAAAGGATTCAGCGATGCTTGTGGAAAGTTTGATATCTCTCAAACAGAGCCGTGCCTCACAAATGATAGCCATCTATTTCGCCTTTCCACTGGCTAAACAGAAATGGGCTTCCTAAGCGCTGCTGTATATCCTTGCATACCAATAGACCGGCTGTGCTTTTCCAAAGGAAGCAAAAACATCCCACCATTAGGACAACAGCGCCGCCTATTGACAAGACATTCATCGCCTTCTGATTCGTACCAAATCAAGTTTGACACTACGGAGAGTTTGTGAGTTTGTCCCTTTCCCTTTTGGCCCATCTCCTTGTCATTCCTTCAAAAGCAGAGCATTCCCTGAAAGGCAAAGCTTGTGCTGGTCTCTGGCTGTCTGCGACCACTTTGCCTCTGCGGTTGACAACACACGACAGCCAGAGCCAAATGGGGAGAAGTGAGGGTGGATTTGGGTCACCATTTTCTAGAGTGTGACTTAAACAAGAGGATTTATACTCAATTCTATGTAACCGAATGTGGCTAATAATATCTATGGTTCATTATTTTTGCATTATGAAATCCAAAATGGCCACTGTTGATTTGTTGTATCATATTTTTTGATAAATACAATTCCCACCTTGTTCATTAAAGACCTCCTCCCACTTGGTTCGTCCTGACACTGGCTCAAATAGATGCTTTTATTCCTATAATGTTATAGTGCATTGAGTTTACACAATTGAATAAATAAATGTAAGAAGTGATGTGTTAAAAGAAGCCCAGTGTCCGTGTGTGAGTCCCCAGGCGAGTGGATTGTATGTTTTGATGATGTCTGCAGCTGTAACGTTGAAAGATGAATTTATCTCTCATCTATTCTTCCCCATCTAGATTGTATCAGGATTAACTGTACATCCAGTAAGTCCATGTTTACATACTTCTCTCTTTTCTTTCTTTTGTTGCCAGATAACACAGTTTTAGCAGCTGTGTTGTTTCATAGCAACAGCGTGTGCAATTTGTCCCACGCTGTCAGTGATAATCTCAATATCCTACGGCTAAGTCAATTCAATCAGGCCAGTGAGATGTGTCTGACTTGCATCAAAATAGTGGAAACAGTTTTTTTATGTCCTGTAAAACCTAAGATTAGCCAATTTTAGGAAATCAGATCAAAAAGGTTTTTACAGTTATGTTCATTTTCTGACAAATGAAACTGATATTCAGCTTAATATTTCATAAAGTATTATTTCATGAAACGTTTATTTTTTAAATCTATTATAACAGATTGGTTTTCAATTTATGTGGACATAAAATGGAAACCGATCTATGTCAAAGATCCATTGCAATTTTTCAAAGGGTCTATGTCTCTTAATCTATGTCCCTGTTATCCTGATTTACCACTCAAAAATACCTACAGTATAGAGCTAAAAGTTGCCAAAAAGATACTATTTTCTGCTATTCGGTGCCAATATTATTACCTTTATTCATTTTTCCCAGGGTGCGTCATCCTTTTTCTCTCATTGTGCATTAAATATGACTAAAATAGCAACTCTAAAAGCCATGATTAACTACAGCCCTAAATATATACTACAGAGCATTTGGAATTAACAAACCATTGCAACAATAATTCAGGCTGATGCTTTGTAAAAGGCAGGTATTTTAGACACGGATGATTTCCTTGTCTTTTTCCTTGGCGCACTAGTTTGTTTCTCTTGCGCTTTAGTGTCTCACGCCGGCTGTAAATTGATGAGGCCATTCAAAGCGCGGAGGAAATACAGAGCGTGATTTTATTATTCTCATTAACCTGCCTCACCGAGCAGAAAGAAAGGGATGGAGAGGGAGGGGAGCCCAGTCCGTCTTGTTCTGGGATATCACAAATAGATGCTTTGGAAGCGTGTCACCCGTATGTGTGGGTTTGTTTGAGCAAAGAAATGAGATGGCAATATTTTGATAGGTAAATATACTTGACTTGTGATGAATTAATAATCACTTGTCCAGAGATAGAATGTGTGAGGCTAATGCTGTTGAAAAGATGTGTCAAAACAGTGCCAAAACATTATGACCAATCCAGTCAGTGCCATGTTATGCACTAAACAACTATAGTATTCATTTGATTTCAGTATAGCACATGGTTGTGTTTCAAATCTGCTTTTTGGCTTTGCAGTTGTATTCCAAACGCTGAGATGGACACTTCCGTTATCTATAAAAAACATACGATATTACAGGGGTAGACTGGGGAAAATGTGGCTGCTCTAATTGCCCCAATCAACACACTTTTTTTCAGATAGGTAATATGGACAAGTCAGTTGCCATTGGTTTTGTTTTTTACATTTAGGTTTTAGAACATACCTTTTGAAAAGGATGATTTTATGTCTGTAGTTGACATGAAGGATCCCTCTCCTTTACTTTACTTTTACTGTTAAAGCTGATCTGCCACACATACTATCAGTTTATGACTTTAGAAAACGTTTGGCCTCAGCCGTTATTGAACGCAACATTAACCAATAGAAACCAACAGTTTTCCGGTCCTACAGTATATTGTGTATATCATACTTGAAGGTCATTGCCTGCTGAGAATCACAGACTCACACTCCCCCGACCCACAGACGTGCTGCTGTGGGACACCTCCTTCTTAACACCTCTCTAAATGCTAAATAGCGTTGTTCAGGCTTCTTGGATTGCCTGCCTTGTTTGTGTATGCAAATATAAAAGCTCAGAGCTCTAATTCCCCTTTCCGAATGCTTAAAAGGTCATTGGTGGTTTGTGATGATAGCATGAACTCATAAACTGTGCAAACATTCGCCAGACGTCCCACTCATGTGATGTGGGTGGCAAACGTGAGGTGACTTTTGCTTGTTCCCCTAATGTACTTTCCTGTTGCCATAACTGTGTAACCTCGCTATTTACAGATGAAAAGAGGAGAGAATAAGACGGGGACAGAGCTGGCTTCTGACACTTACATAATGCTGCAGTGAGTGCTGACTCTTGTGCTTAGATCCAAGAAAAAATATGCTTTACAGATAATGACCACAGACAAGCTCTCTTGTGAAATTAGCATCCATCTGATGCATACTTACTGTGCTTGTGAACAGTCATGCACAGTTTACAAGCAATAACATTTTTGTAGACTCCACGATTCAGATTAAAACTGACTTCATACAACAGTAGCAACAAATTGTTATTTATTTATTTTTTTTTTTCAAAAGATAGATTAAATGGTTGTTCATATATTTAGAAGAAAAAAAATTCTCACGGGCTAAAATTATATTTTTAGTTTGTAGAAATGAACATGAATAGTTCAGAGCTTTCCAAAACAAACAGATTCAGCTACTGTTCAGTTTATTACAAAGCAAAAACAGGTCTTAGAAAATGCCACATTAATTTTCTAAAATGAATAAAGTGCAGTAAGAATATCTTCATTGAATCAACATAAAAACTAGGTCTGAAGTCCAACATGTTAAGTAGAAACTGTGGCTTCAGAATGAGGCCTAATTACGTCAGTGGAGGATGTTTAATTGAACTTCTTGGAGAGTGTGTTAAGCCCGTTCCACTCTCCCACACAAATAGTTAACATTAATGATTTTTTCCCCTGTGTTATTTTGGTCCTGAGTTATTTTCTTAATGAATGTGTGTTGTCAGGCGTTGCACTTGGATTTTCTCTGTGGATGAAGGATTCCTGCAGTAACTCTAAGAACACATCACTGTCAATTAGGACCTGTGCTCCCCCGGCCCCCAGCAGTCTGAGGGGAATACTGCCACTAATGCTTTAATACTGCGAACAGCAACCAGTGACAACTGACAAACACTTTCTGACTGGACACGGCTGCAACTGTAGTAAACAGTCGTTTTTAGACTTGGGAATATAGGAGTTTATCTACTCAGATAGGTACTTAAACAATTTATCTTCAAATGTTTACATGAAAGAACTAATCTAAAATGTGCAGATTTTAGCGTAAATGTGTAAATGTTTAAACTATGAAAAGCTCTGGAATTTAGAGTGTTATCTTTACTAATGGACAGATATTGCCAAGGAAATCATTTCAAATTGTTTCTATATTCATTTAAAGATTTAAATGAATATAGACACACCTCCACATCCTATAAACATTGACGTAAACATTCCACAGTCCGGCCCTGTATCCACCTGTGTGATGAGTTGCATGTGTTTGACCCAGTGTGCGCCTGTCACGGGCCGGTCGGCCTGATTGACTGGATAATCACATCTTCTCATGCTGTTCCCCTGGGGCCTGGAAGCAGTGGAGCAGAGAGCCCAGTGCAGATCCATCACTGCACAAGGTTAGAGCTCGGGAGCAAGGGACAGCAGCCACCGCTCCTGATGTTAGCAGAACAGTGGGGCTTCACTCCAGGATAAAGAGCCAAAGTCAAACACGCAGTGGGGATTTACTATTGAAATGTGCAGAAGATAGATCTGTATTTACTTTACTCTAAGGACGGTAACATTGAGTCTGGCATGTCTGTTGAGCCATGTTATGTAGCCAGTGCAAATGTGCAGTGCATCATGTGTTCGGAAAACGTTATATAATATGCCAATATACCCTCAAGAACGTATAGAACTTATCTGAAACACAAAGCAGCATTATATCAAACACAAAAGCTAAAACAGTGGGACACAAATAGAAAGGGATCTTGTGACATTTCATACCTACAGTCTTTTCAATGGGTGTTGATTAAAGAGGATGTCTCACTGAAAGCTCCATCTTCAATGACTTTGGTGCTTAAGAATATGTTGCATAGTGTGGGTGGTGACATTTTTTACACCTATTAAGAATAATTTATGATCACGCTCTGTATTTTTTCCTCTTTTTACGATTTTTTTTTTTACACATTAAATTCAATTGAGATTTATTGTGAGAAGAGTGAAAGCAGCATGGGATGGCCACCGTTAATATAATAGATCCATGGATGGCCAAGGTTGCAGCAGCAGTCCGAGCTTTCCTTCAGCACAGAGTTTCCATGGTTCTCTGCTGCCCCCCAGTGGACAGTTTGGATCAAGGCTGTGGTTTTAACAAATGCAAGTCAGATACAACTGCTTTATGTTCAAAATAAAATACTCAATTAATATTACATTATTGTGATGATATTTGTGATTTATGTAGTTTTATGTTTTGCTGCAAGCACAAACAGTATTTCTAAATTTAAATTGACTTGAATCCAGGAGCCTCTTCTCAATTCCATGTGATCAGTTTTGTTCAATTCGCTTGTGAAATGGTTGTTTTTACTTGTTTCATGACAAAGGTAAATAGGGAATAGCCCTAACCCAAAGGAGCAGTAGAGCATGGAAGTCTCTGTTTTGTTTATCAATTATAATAAATAGGTCGTGGATATAAACAGATACATTGTTAACTTTTCTTATTCCTTTTTAATTTGTTCCACAGTTTTTAAGATATTTTAGCTATTTGAAGTACTGAAGTATTACATATAAAATAGATTATCCTGAATTCAAGTCAATATATATTTTATTTTTTGTGAAGGGTTTTAAAAAATGTTCTAATGACTGTGACTTTGATATATCCTGCAGCCTTACTAAAGACCATGTCATTTTTCAGCCTAATATCTAACTTTCTATTTTCTCTGTTTCAATTCTATCTTCTTTCTGTCAATGTTCCAAAGCTTGTATTGTTCTGTGTTAACGCTGTGTGGACTGTCCTACAGGCAAAGGCCCAGAGACTATTTTTGCGGGTCAGAATTTGAACGATAATGAGTGGCACACAGTGAGAGTGTTCAGGAGAGGAAAGAATCTCAAACTGACCGTGGATGACCTGCCTCCTGTGGAAGGTACAGTACAACTCACAATGACGGGGAAAGAACATATGTTTGTTGTTGTTGACTCTTTTCGTTCATGTTATTGATGAAGCAGATAGAAAAATAAGTAGTCATATGTAATATACAAAGTTTGTACCTTTACTATCTAAACACCAACAAATCAGTCTTTTGGAGTTACTAATTTTGGCAATAAAAGTTGGATTATAATGTAACAACTTTAATCAATCACTAAAGAGTGCTTATTACATATATCTCTTTTAAACAACCCTATTTAAACTCTCATGTTTCACTGGGAAAGCAAATCTAATTTAAAGCACTGAATTTCATGCATGCTTGAATTATTTTTATAAGTAATTGTATTTAGAAAAGCACATCATGTCTTTAGGCTGATTGACTGAGCAAGTACTGTATTGTTCTCTCTTTTTAACCTTCCGTCTGATGATGAAAATCTGATGTAGATGTAGACTTCTGATATAAGTTATTCATGTGTCCAATTGTCAGTGCACCTGTGGCAAAACAGAGGTTGATCCCTCTGACCAAGACTTCTCTGACCTGTGCTCCTGTAGGTCAAATGGCGGGCGACCACACTCAGCTGGAGTTCCACAACATCGAGACGGGCATCGTCACAGAGAAGCGCTTCATGTCCATGGTGCCCTCCAACTACATCGGCCACATCCAGAGCCTCGCCTTCAACGGCATGGCTTACATCGACCTGTGCAAAAACGGCGACATCGATTACTGCGAGCTGAACGCTATGATCGGATACAAGAATATCATCGCCGACCCCGTCACCTTCAAGTCTCGCTCCAGCTACGTGACGCTCTCCACACTGCAGGCCTATTACTCCATGCACCTGTTTTTCCAGCTCAAAACCACCTCGTCTGATGGCCTGATCCTCTACAACAGCGGAGATGGCAATGACTTCATAGTGGTGGAGCTGGTGAAGGGGTAAGAGATGCATGCCTTTTTCTGAAGATTGTGTAGTTAGAAAAAATTAAAATGGCAAATAGGTAGGCCTTTCTCGCTGAATTTTATATATTTCACTTGGGATAACTCATAAACAATATGAATAACACATTGCAAATTATATACAATCAGACTTAAACATGATGCCCCTATCTAATAAGAAAATAAGTTTTATTTTGAATACTCGGCTGATCAAAAGAAGTGACAGAGGCTGATTATTAAATATAATAGTGTCTTTTGGTTCTCCTATGCTAGGCAATCGTAAGATAGCAATGTTAGGGTATAGAATAACCAAAAAAACGTAATATCCACTTGGAAGGCATGATGAACCTGACAAAACTATTGAAACAAACTGGAACTGTTTTTTTAGCATTGTAATACAGAGTTCATTTTTTGTGGTTGAAAGTTAGGAACCCCAGCGTTTTTAACACGGTGGAAGATTAATAACTTTACCAATTAAGTCTATTGAGGACTGTATTCTTTGTAAAGCTGTAGCCCTAATGTAAAGTTTTAGCCGCTGATGACTAATGAGATAAACTAAATATGAGAAAGTCAACTTAAAGAGCTACCAGAATAGAGGAGACCTTTAATAAAGTATATTAATAAAAGCCTGCCAGTTCAGTAAAGTGTAATATCAAATTTGATGAAAAAAACTAATGTATCTCATGTATTTCTTTGTGTCCAGTTATCTGCACTATGTTTCTGACCTGGGCAATGGTGCTCACCTGATCAAAGGAAACTCCAACAAACCTCTGAACGACAACCACTGGCACAACGTCATTATCTCCAGAGACACCAACAACCTGCACATGGTCAAGATCGATACCAAAATCACCACGCAGACCACCACCGGGGCCAAGAACCTTGACCTCAAAGGTACATACTGTCTTCTTAACAATTCATTTAACACTTACCTGTAAAAGTGAGTAAGAAAGAACATTCTGTCCCAACTACCATCATATCAGGTTTGAAACAGCACTTTTCTTACTCTATATTAGAACATGGAACTGCAGAGTAATCATCTAAACTAAAGGAGATAAGTGGATTGGATGACTACAGCTTATAATCCTACCTGTAGTCAACTCGATTCAACCCACTTCTACCCCACTTGGCCCCAATCAGCCCTGCTTGCATTCCCATTGCAACGTCTGTGATAACGGCGATTTGATGCTAATTTGAAGAGAAAATTGTTAATAGTGTTTCTTGTACAACTAAAATGTGGGTTTTGCATGGATGGTAAATACATGCACAATTATCCACTATAAATTAGACTTCATCAATTGAATCAGTGGTCTTACACACGTGGCATTTTTGTAACCCAGAGTGGACAGAAAAACTATAGTGTCAGTGTACTGAGATTTTGTACAACTATGGAAATGTATATATTGTTTATGCCATGTTTTTTTTTATTGTTTACCATATACATTGAACCCTAATTGCAATAATCAATAATTCAACATTATTAAACCCATCTGCAATAAAAGCATCTGTTTTGTTTCAATCCAAGCAGCTAGTCTCATTTTGTTTGTAGAAATGTATAATATTAGATAAAAAGTAGATGGCAAAGTTTTAAATGTAGTAGTATATTACATTGATACACTGCTTATACAAAGTAAAATATTGAGAGCAATTTCAGTGGTTTGATTCTATTCGCTGCTGTGGCGGGAGTCCTCCAGGAGAGGGCGGTGTTGACACATGTTTCCTGAACAGGAAACCTGTACGTGGGCGGCGTGTCCAAGGAGATGTTCAAAGACCTGCCAAAACTGGTGCACGCCAAGGAGGGTTTCCAGGGCTGCCTGGCCTCTGTGGACCTGAACGGCCGCCTCCCAGACCTCATGTCCGACGCACTGGACTGTGTGGGGCAGATTGAGAGAGGCTGTGAAGGTGAGGACGACACACTGCAGCTAATGCTCAAGAGGGGAACAAAGTCAAAACAACATCACAATACTACATGACAAAGGTCACCAGGACTCCTCTGTATAGTGTTCACTTTTTATCCAGGCTGGCAATAAAACAAAATAAATAAGATATACATTATTGATCTCAGAAAGGAGAAATTTACATGTCACATCTGGCATGGATAGAAACACTCAAGATTGTGGGAAAAAAAAAAAAAAAAAAATGTGCAAAAAGAGAGAAATGTGCAAACACGTTAATTATATTATTAGAAATGTGCAAACATGTTAAATATATTTTGTCCAATAAAAAAGTGTCAATTTAAAAAATGACAATTAGAAACAGTGTCAATAGTAGTGCAGGTTTTTCAGTCTTAATACAGTGACTTAAAGTGACTTTTTGTACAGTCTGACATCATTGATCATCAAAAATCATTATATTATTACTGATATTAATATTAAGATTATCTTAATAATCATGTCTGAATAAAAGGATAATAAGTAGAAACATCACTCATTCTCTCTGCTCAGAGCTGGTTTCATGTTTTAATTATTGTCTCAAACATGTCAATCACTAAATAATTGGTCACACTTTTGCCCACTATCTACACCGTATATATATTATACTGAAATAAATATAATAGCCATTTTGTTATGCTGTTATAGGCTTATTTGAAGTAGAACCCAAGAAGAATATTATTTGCTCTTGTGGAAAAAAAATGAAAGAATACTTTTTGACTTTCTTCTGTACATTTATCATCAACAAACCAGATTTTGAATAGAGTTTGGGTTAGGGTTATTTTCTTGAGGTTAGCCTAGAACCTATAAACAATGAGTGAACTACAGCTTCACAGATTGAACTCTGTGTCAGTGTCTCTGTTAGTATTCTGCTCTGTGGCCCTTGCACACAATCATTTCTGTTACACTTGGCCATAATCTTATTATTCTCTATTTGTATTGCAACTGTTATTTCCTATTTTATTCCATTTTGTTTTGCTGGGTGCATGCTCACTGGATCTGAGAATTTGCCAGAAGCTATCCTTTTGAATTATGTATGAGTCCTTTGTTGCATGCATGAATATTATACAGCCGTTCTAATGTGACTACCACATCCAGAGACAATATTTGATTTATTTCTTCTGTGTCACTTAGTCTAATTTTACAATTCATCTCCTCTTTTGTGTTGAGTGAGCGTCTTATGAGCTATTCAGTTTCCACTATTTCAAATGTAATCAATTTTCTAACATAACATAAGCTCTGTCGGTCTGGCTGAGTTCATTGTACCACTCCGACTGAATCACTTGGAGGAGATTGCATTTTGGGCTGGGCTCAGTTTAACTTTTGACAGAAATACAATAGCACAGTTCTGAATATGGGAAAGAGAAGAGCGAGAAAAGTGTGGAGTGGAGTTTGGGTTTCATATGTCATAACTTGAGAAAACATTTTGATATTAATTCTGCTGAACTTCAAAGTTACCAACATAAGCGTATACCCAATTTGGCCATATGCCACTGACTGCCACAGTTCTAAAACCATATACATTAAACTTGCATTACTTTTATCCCGTGTCAGATCATTGTTTAGGTTTATAAATGGGTGTTGATTAAAGAGGATGTCTCACTGAAAGTAAATAAATAGTACTTATTTAAAAAGTTTGAGAGAGATGGATTTTTTGTAGTTTTACGCAATAAGATAAGATAAGATAGACTTTATTGATCTACCACAGGAGAAATTGACATGTCAAATTTGGCATAGATACTGTAGAATCACTCAAGATTTGTGCAAAAGTGTGCAAACATGTTAAAGGCAGAAAATAGTCTGTGCAGGATATATTATGTACAATAAAAAGTGGCAATTAAATAAACAATCCTTCTCCTTTCAGTTTACTTCTATCTACATTCTTATTAGCCACACTGTCCAAGAACAATTACGATTAATCCGTACAATAAAGCTGTTCTTATGCACAGCAGTTGTGAGCAGCAAATGTTTTTTTTTATTCAAGTAGGCACATTTGCAGGGAGTATTTTGCTCTGATAACTTTGATTTCAAGGGTTTCAGAGTAATGAAAATAGGCTCTTTATTATCGTCTTCTTGAAAGTAGCAGCTAATTCTAATTCTAATTGCGTTTCCTATTATGTGTGAGTCTTCAGTCGTCCTTGTGTCTTCACCCAGGCCCCAGCACCACGTGTCAGGAGGACTCGTGCGCAAACCAAGGCGTGTGTCTGCAACAGTGGGAGGGCTTCAGCTGTGACTGCAGCATGACCACCTTCGGAGGGCCCCTCTGCAACGACGGTAGGACCCTCCTCCTTTCTCGATTCAGTTTAATGTGTTTTTGTAAAGCCCTAAATCACAACAGTAGTGAATTCGCCATCACAGATCGGGGCGACAGTAGCTCAGTTGGTAGAGCATTGGCCTTTGAGCCTGAAGGTCGTGGGTTCAAGCCCACCGTAAGACCTACTTCACGACTCCCACTGATGACTGCTGTCGTTGTGTCCTTAGGCAAGACACTTAACCCCACTTTGCCTGAAGCTCCCACTGAAAGATCTCAGCTCCTGTGGACTCACCACCTGCAGGAGGATCAGTGAGGGGCTGGTGCTCTGTGTACTGGGTGCAGCTCTGACTGCCACCCCCCCGACCCAGAAATGGATTAAGGGGAAGAAAATGGATGGATGGATGGAGATCAGAAAATTCTACAGTTCACACAGGGAATGCAATGACAAACGACACATAAGGTCATTGGTCCATAAGGAGCAGAGATGACCAATGTCCATAAATGTTGTAGAAAGTCCATAAATGTTGTTGAATGTCAAGTGTCCTGGATCATTACCAATGTCCTTGGAGAGACGTCTCTAGCAGATATTGTTTATATTAAAGACATTTTCATAATTGAATCGATATATTTACCTACTATGTCCATGAGGGAGGAAGGGGAATGGGTGTGAAGAGGGCATCGTGTCTGCATTCCATTAAGAAAGCCTTTCCATTATTAGTTAAAGATATCAGTTGTTTCAACAAATATCTATAAAACACTTAATTCATATTGTTATAATCTCTGTAATGTTATCCCTAATGCTCCACCACTCATATTTTGGCTATCAATTCGGTTAAATTGATACATTTAATTTGCTAGAATTCTGGTAAATGAAAAATAAATCAAAGAACTTTTTAGTTTTTAACGCTGCGTCCATTAATCTCAATTTGGTTCCCCAAAAGTGGTTAGTTTTTTTAAGGGACTGTCGCCATTATTGTTTATCTGGGAGTGCACTGTTCTAATGGCTTCAGATTCTTTAGAAAATACACTCCCCATTTACTTTTGCAAAATCAGCACAGTCTGGTATTCTGCTGGTCATTATATACTCCTGCACAATACAGAGCTCCTCCGCGAGAGAAGAGGAGCGAGTGGGCACAACGGCGGACGAGAGCTCCATAAATGTTAATGCATTCTTTGTCACTTGTACAAGCTCGATAAGGCCCATCTTTTGTTATCGCCTCAAAGTGTTAATAGATTCCAGCGCTGCTCCAGAGCTGAACATGTCTGCAGCGCATGATAACACTTCTGTCCTACGTATGGAACTGTGGCTTCCAAATCCAATGCTTCTTTTCCCACTACTCACATCTAGCTGCTTTTGAAAAGGATCTCCCAGTGAACCGATTTCAAATCTTTGTCTATTCTGGGGAATGCGTTTGAAGTTTAACAGTCTATATGTTTTTTTGTAGTAATCTAGTGCATAGACTGTATATAGATTGCTCCACTTGCTCAATTAGCCCAATAGAGAAGTGCTCCTGGAAGTTTCGCTCACCTCTTTTCACATTGAAAAGTAAACTCCTCTATCATTGTTTGTGTAGCTCACCATTATGGGCTTCCAGAATTCATGGTTTGGAGCTTTCTGTGATCTTGGTGTTTTTTACTTTGATATTATCTTCAACCAAAACAACTATTAGGATTCTGAACAAAAGGCACAAACACCTATAAATCACTTGCAAATGTCAACAGGGCCTTTCTGAGTTGAGTTTGCATGTTCTCCACGTGTCTGCGTAGGGGTCCTCCGGGTGCTCCAGTTTCCCCTATCACTAAAAACATGTACATTAGGTCTGGTATGCGCCTCCTGAACTGGCGACCCCGCTCTCTGTGGGAGACAAATGCCCAAAAAATAACAATTGTAAACCGCTTTGTGACTCTGGTCTGTGAAAGGCAGTTTATAAATAAAGATTACTTACTTACTTAACTTCATCAACATCTGGAGATGGGTTCTGGATCTTGACAGAGGTTCTAGTGCCATTAAAGTAAGTAAGTAAGTAAGCTTTATTTATATACCGCCTTTCACAGACCAGAGTCACAAAGCGGTTTACAATTGTTATTTTTTGGGCACTTGTCCTCTCACTCCACACAGAGATGGGAGCGGGGTCACCAAACAGGAGGCGCATGCCAGAACTATTGTACATATTTTTAGCGGTAGGGGAAACCGGAGGAAACCTACGCAGATACGGGGAGAACATGCAAACTCCACTCAGAAAGGCCCTGGTCCGGCCGGGATTCGAACCCAGGACCTTCTTGCTGAGAGGCGAGAGTGCTATCCACTCAGCCACCGTGCCGCCCAAAGGATGGGTCAAATGTACTCATTTCCATATACAGTGCCTTGCGAAGGTATTTGGCCCCCTTGAACCTTTCAACATTTCGCCACATTTCAGGCTTCAAACATAAAGATATAAAAAATATTTTTTTTGTCAAGAATCAACAACAAGTGGGACACAATCGTGAAGTGGAACAAAATGTATTGGATAATTTAAAATTTTTTAACAAATAAAAAAAGTGAAAAAAAACTGAAAAGTGGGGCGTGTAATATTATTCGGCCCCCTTGCGCTAATACTTTGTAGCGCCACCTTTTGCTGCAATTACAGCTGCAAGTCGCTTGGGGTATATCTCTATCAGTTTTGCACATCGAGAGACTGGAATTCTTGCCCATTCTTCCTTGCAAAACAGCTCGAGCTCAGTGAGGTTGGATGGAGAGCGTTTGTGAACAGCAGTGTTCAGCTTTTTCCACAGATTCTCGATTGGATTCAGGTCTGGACTTTGACTTGGCCATTCTAACACCTGGATACGTCTATTTGTGAACCATTCCATTGTAGATTTGGCTTTACGTTTTGGGTCATTGTCCTGTTGGAAGATAAATCTCCGTCCCAGTCTCAGGTCTTTTGCAGACTCCAACAGGTTTTCTTTCAGAATGGTCCTGTATTTGGCTCCATCCATCTTCCCATCAATTTTAGCCATCTTCCCTGTCCCTGCTGGGACAGGGAAGATATGTTTGCTTTTACGCCAAACATATCGTTTTGCATTGTGGCCAAAAAGTTTGATTTTGGTTTCATCTGACCAGAGCACCTTCTTCCACATGTTTGGTGTGTCTCCCAGGTGGCTTGTGGCAAACTTTAAACAAGACTTTTTATGGATATCTTTGAGAAATGGCTTTCTTCTTGCCACTCTTCCATAAAGCAAAGGAAGGTTTCTCACCCATCATCTGTACTTCTTAGCAAGTTTTCCCGACGTTTCGTCCTCAACCTAGCGGACTTCTTCAGGGAATGAATTCTCGGACCGCGCGTTGGAGATTTATAACCTATGGGTGTGGTTAGCCACACCCTAATCCTGATACTAACTCATAAACAATCTACGGTCTGCTTGATGTAGAAGGGAGCAGATCTAACGACCCTGCTGAGGCTAACGACCCTAACTCCTTAGCATGTCACAGACCTATTGTCTGCTGGGATGCTCAAGTGGAGTGCAGGTCTCACCCCTCCTAACTCATTAGCATGTCACTGACCTTGTCCCAAGTTAGGGCGTTGTTTTTAGGATGTCGTCATAGATGCGAGGCAAAACAAATCTTAACCCTCCTCCTCTGTTAAGAGAAGGTTTTTGTTTCCTCACAAAAATGGTTTCTTTCACTCCTCTCTCAAACCAATTCTTCTCCCGAGCCAGAATTTTAACCTCTGTCATCCACCGTGTGGTTGGAGGCCTTGAGGTGGAGATGAACAGCCGACTGTGGCCCACTAGAGTTTTCTCTACGATGTTGGTAAAGTCGTTTCTGTAGAGTTTGTTTGGTTTCTCCAATATAGTGGTCAGTGCACTCCTCTTCACTACATTTAATTGAATACACCACATTGCTCTGTTTGTGTCTGGGTGTTTTGTCTTTGGGATGCACTAATTTCTGTCTTAACGTGTTGAAAGGTTTGAAATACACAGGGATTTTGTGTTGCCTAAAGATTCTTTGTAGTTTCTCTGAAACTCCCGCCACATACGGTAAGGACACCCCTCTCCTCCTACTTTCTTCTGTCTGTTGGACTGTGTCTCTGGCCTTTCTCGTCCTTTGGGCTTTAGTAAAAGACCACTTGGGGTAGCCACATCTGGAAAGTGCTCTCTGAACATGTTTGGTATCTCTGTTCTTTCCCTCCGAGCTTGTGGGGACCTGGTGGGCTCGGTGTTGAAGCGTTCTAATGACCCCGAGTTTGTGTTGTAGCGGATGATTTGAGTCAAAGGCCAGGTACTGGTCAGTGTGAGTGGACTTTCTGAAGACCTCAGTCTCTAATTGTCCGTTCTCCAGTATGATGACCTTACAATCTAGAAAGGCCAGTTCACTCTCCTTAGCATCCTCGCGAGTGAAATTTATAAAAGGGTCCACCGAATTAATGTGTTCTGAAAATGGTTCCACTTCCTGTTTCTTTAACTTAACCCATGTATCGTCTACATATCGAAACCAATGGCTTGGCGCTGTCCCTTGGTAAGAGCCCAGGGCTTGTTCCTCCAGTTTCTCCATATACAGATCGGCCACTATAGGAGAGACTGGGGAGCCCATCGCACAGCCATGAATCTGTCTAAAGAAGGTGCCTCTAAATTGGAAATACGTGGTGTTAAGACACATTTCAAGTATTTCACAGATGTGGTCAGCTGTTAGTTTTGTTCTCTCCCCTAGAGTGGCGTCTTTCTGTAGGCTTTCTCTTACAGCCTCTGTAATAGGGACCGACGTAAAAAGCGATGTCACATCAAACGAGACCATTGTCTCATCTGTGTCAAACTGGAGGTGTTTGATTTTATTTACAAATTCTTTTGTGTTTTCTATGTGATGGTGGGTGTTACCCACCAAAGGAGCCAGAATGGTTTTGAGGTGTTTAGCCAGGTTGTAGGTGATAGTCTATGCTACATACAATAGGCCGAAGTGGAAAGTTTTGTTTGTGTATTTTTGGGAGTCCATAAATACTGGGAATGGTGTCTCCTGGGTAAAGTTTGTAATATAGTGGTTTTTCAATAATGCCCTCTTTCACTAAGCTCTGAAGGAAGTCTATAATCTTTTTCCTAAACCCACTGGTAGGGTCCCTCTTCAATGGCTGGTACGTGTTGGTGTCCAAGAGTAACTGATTAACTTTGGCCTCATAGTCTGAGCTGTTGAGGATAACTGTGCATCTGCCTTTGTCAGCTGGTAAAATAGTTGTACTCTCATCCTTTTGTAATGCCATTAATGCTTTTTGCTCATCTAATGAGACATTGGATTGTGGGGGCTTCGCACTTTTGAGTGTTGCAGAGACTCTCAGTCTGAGGGCCCCCGCCTCACTCTCAGTTAGTTTGTTGTTTCTAATGGCTGCTTCTGCTGCTGTGATGTATTCAATTGTAGGAATATCTTTTGGGGTTATTGCAAAATTTAGGCCTTTAGTAAGAACATCTTTTTCAGCTTGTGATAAAGAATCTTTAGGCAACACAAAATCCCTGTGTATTTCAAACCTTTCAACACGTTGAGACAGAAATTAGTGCATCCCAAAGACAAAACACCCAGACACAAACAGAGCAATGTGGTGTATTCAATTAAATGTAGTGAAGAGGAGTGCACTGACCACTATATTGGAGAAACCAAACAAACTCTACAGAGACTTTACCAACATCGTAGAGAAAACTCTAGTGGGCCACAGTCGGCTGTTCATCTCCACCTCAAGGCCTCCAACCACACGGTGGATGACACAGAGGTTAAAATTCTGGCTCGGGAGAAGAATTGGTTTGAGAGAGGAGTGAAAGAAGCCATTTTTGTGAGGAAACAAAAACCTTCTCTTAACAGAGGAGGAGGGTTAAGATTTGTTTTGCCTCGCATCTATGACGACATCCTAAAAACAACGCCCTAACTTGGGACAAGGTCAGTGACATGCTAATGAGTTAGGAGGGGTGAGACCTGCACTCCACTTGAGCATCCCAGTAGACAATAGGTCTGTGACATGCTAAGGAGTTAGGGTCGTTAGCCTCAGCAGGGTCGTTAGATCTGCTCCCTTCTACATCAAGCAGACCGTAGATTGTTTATGAGTTAGTATCAGGATTAGGGTGTGGCTAACCACACCCATAGGTTATAAATCTCCAACGCGCTGTCCGAGAATTCATTCCCTGAAGAAGTCCGCTAGGTTGAGGATGAAACGTCGGGAAAACTTGCTAAGAAGTACAGATGATGGGTGAGAAACCTTCCTTTGCTTTGACTAATCCCTGTACGACTGAGAGCTTACACAAACTCTTCCATAAAGGCCAGATTTGTGCAGTGCACGACTGATTGTTGTCCTATGGACAGACTCCACCTCAGCTGTAGTTATCTGCAGTTCATCCAGAGTGATCATGGGCCTCTTGTCTGCATCTCTGATCAGTCTTCTCCTTGTTTGAGATGAAAGTTTGGAGGGACGGCCGGGTCTTGGTAGATTTGCAGTGGTCTGATACTCCTTCCATTGCAATATAATTGCTTGCACAGTGCTCCTTGAGATGTTTAAAGCTTGGTAAATCTTTTTGTATCCAAATCTGGCAACAGTATCTCGGACCTGCCTGGTGTGTTCCTTTGTCTTCATGGTTCTCTCTGCGCTTTAAATAGAACCCTGAGACTATCAAAGAGCAGGTGCATTTATACGGAGACTTGATTACACACAGGTGCATTCTATTTATCATCATCAGTCATTTATGACAACATTGGATCATTCAAAGATCCTCACTGAACTTCTGGAGTGAGTTTGCTGCACTGAAAGTAAAGGGGCCGAATAATATTGCACGCCCCACTTTTCAGTTTACTTTTGCAAAGCACTGTAAAATGATGGAAATGTGAGATAAAACCTTAAACTTTACAAATATAATAATTTCCTGAAGACAGAGGAAGGTATGTTGAGAAGTTTGAAGAAGTGAGAGCAGTGCATGAACAACTCTCCCACACCTAATCCAATCTTTTTTCTGATGATTATTTTCAGTAATCATTTTTCTGACATAAAGAATGCATTGGACAAATTAGATCCATGTGGTCCACTTACTTCTTAAACAGTCCCTGTTTATTGCTGGCGATCTGATAAAAGAAGAGCAAAGATTAGTATCCACTTCCTTCAATATATAAACATACTTTAAGGGAAGTCTCATTCTCTGTGGATTTGCTGTGCTACTTCTTGGTAAAAAAAAAAGTGATGCAAGTTGAGTCTGCCGGTGCCAAAGAAATCTTGAGGCAGCAGAAGTGAAGAATTTGAGATGGTTGGATTTTATCTGTGTTGATGGATTGTCATGGGTATAGAGGAAAGTAGAAAGGGGAGGGAGTAGAGCGCAAATTCAGAGTAAAAAAATATCACTTTCTACTAGATAGATTTGCATAAGCTGAATCCCTGGCAAAATTTACAAGAGAGCAATAGGCTCAGGGCGAAGATTTTTTTTATTAATAATAATTATATTTAAGAGTTTATACATTTAGTTTATTTTATCTATTGATCTTAGCATCCTAAAAAAAGAACTTAAGAAACTTGAGAAATACCTGGGCTCAGATGAGACCTGCATGGGACCTGGAAAGTGAAGGCAACTGTTGTGCTTGTGGTCATTGGTGCAGTAATCCCCAAAATAAAAAAATGGGACTTTTTGAATGTATTGTGTTGCGTATTTAAGCGGCCAGATGACAGACTGATGTTAGATACACCCACATTTGTTTCATTCAATTGGTTTTGTCTGATTAGCCAGATGATGACACACAAAATCCAAGTTTGTTTTCATTCTTACGAAACCTTCAGCTCCTCAACTACTTGTACCCTGATCTCCTCACAGTTGAAAATTAATAATGAGAGGATTTTCATTTTTCTCGTTGAGAATCTCAGGCTATGATATATCACCAGTACAGCCATGATTTATGAGTGTGGACTTTCAAAGCGTAGTTAAAATCTGCGATCAGTAACAAACTTTCTTCCCTTTGACTGCAGGGAGTTGATAATGTGCTCTACTTTTCATAGAAATTGGTTGGCATGTGCGTGAGGGATTCAGACTGAGCTCGAGACATCCCGGGGGAGAAGTTGTAGTATTCCACCATTGAGGTTAATGTGTCCAGACAAACAGAATAGTGTTTTCTGTTGGACTAAACTGGGTCGGTGTGGATAGAAGGGCTACTTTGGTGAGGAAGCACCCTGGCCTTCACGCAATTTTAGCCCTGCTTGGGTGCCCCTTATCTAATCGTCCGTTACAGCTATTAGTGTCGTGTCAATATTGTATCAACAAAAGAGGTCACCGAGTCTGTCCGTGTCTGGTCCAAGAGAAGGGGTAGTGCCACTTTCATTTTAGGGCCATATCCTAAGCCTCAGGCTGCGGAGTAGACATGGGCAGTTCTATGATTAGGTCTCATAGGAGCTTATATTGTTAAACCTTGGGGACCTATCTTTTAAACTATGTAAATTCAATTCATTCAGAAAAAGATCATTACGTTAGAAACATTTAACACAGAGCTTTAAATGAGCCACTTTACCTTTTTACGAAGGATATATTATTTTTCTTCCATAAAGAGATTGGATTAATAATAGTAATATAACAGAATCAGGTCTCCTGCACATTTTATTTATGCACTTGTTACTACTTCCTGTCTATTTTGTTGTTTTTTCCCTTTTTCACACAAAAACAACTTTGTGCCCAACTCTCGGCTGGACCCTGCCCAGATTTAACACGTTTAACACCCAATAAATTGTTTAGGGTTTGGTGGATACCAGGCACTGGTGCGGGATGACTTGGAAACGATTGGACACCTGCATCGTTAAAGGGTGATCAAAAATATTTTGGTTGTGCAACATTTCTAAAACTGATTTCCTATGGACTTTACATACTAAGTCATTGCTGGATATGCAAATGTATCTTTATTATGAATGGCAAAATATTTCGGTAGGATTGCGATGAACCAACCAGGGGCGACAGTAGCTCAGTTGGTAGAGCATTGGCCTTAAGCCCAGAAGGTCGTGGGTTCAATTCCCACCTCTGCACCTTCTCCACCGACTCCCACTGATGACTGGCTGTCGTTGTGTCCTTGTGCAAGACACTTAACCCCACTTTGCCCAAAAAGCTCCCACTGAAAGATCAAGGCTATGCTCACACTCAGAGAGCAGCCGTCCTCCTGTGGACTCACCACCTGCAGAGGGTCAGTGAGGGGCTGGTGCTATGAGACTTGGGTGGCATCTCTGACTGCCGCCCCCCTGACCCAGAAATGGATTAAAGGGTAGAAAATGGATGCGATGGATGCGATGAACCAATCCTTTTGATTTGAATATATACATTCTATCTGCCTTCTGGAATATAAATGCTCAATTAAGTCATTTGCAACTAAGTCATAATGCTTCATTTAGTCTTTTATTATACAGTGCTATTACAATGCTGCCGCTGCTACAGATGTTTGTAAAATGAATGTCTCCCATGCCTTTAGGTCACAAATCTGTTAAGCTTTTTATGTGAAGTTTTATGCTATGACTAAATGTGCTTTCATGCCCATCACACAGTATGTCTTTGCCCGCAGCCCTATATTCACAACACATGTTAGCCTGTCCAGATGGCTAATGGCCAAGACTTCCCAATTCTGGATGCTGCTTAAGAATACTACTGTTTCCTATCCATCCTTTGTATTATGACTATTACTAGACATGGTCTGGCCCAGTTATTTTCAAAATTATCACTGTGTGTTGATTAAATAGCTGAATTTAATGAGCACAGGAAGTGATAGCCATAAATCGGTAAAGGCTGTTGGCATGGTAACAGTGTCTCCGTTAGGGCTGGATGGTGTAACATGTCTGCAACTTTGCTCAAGCTTTCATTCTCTCCCTGTAGAATTGTTAATGGTCAAAAACAATGTTGATAATCAAATGTATTGTATCACGTAAATCATGCAGTGGAGTGATGGGTCAAGCAGCAAGACATAACAGCTGAAAGAGCGGGAAATCTGTGTGATGTGATGTGACATTGTTCTGGCCTTAATATAGAGAAGCAATGATGTGTGGGGTATTGTATAAGACCATGCAGCTGCTCATGACCGGCATTCTGTTTGTTTCTTATTCACACAACATTCTTCAATTTTAACATGGTGTCACTAATAATATAATAGTGGTGTTTGCTACAGCTGAAGTTAAACGAAAACACAATTTCCCTCTTTACTGCTAAAACAGTTTTTCACCTTATTACACTCTTTGTTTCCTTTGTTACTTATTTACCCTGATTAGTTGTAAGCACTCATATTTCATATTAATTCAAATATTGAGCCCAGCATGCAGTTTGCAAGATCTACCAGGGTAGTTCATGCAAACTGCAAATTTCTGGGATAATAAAGCACTTTATTTGAGAATCTTTGCCATCCGTCATGGCAAATAAGATAAAGTAAACAGTGAGATCGGAAAGGTAAACAATCACTATACACCAAATATCTTCTTGTGACGTAGATGTTATTGTTGTTCTGACTTGGTCTTCCACAAGCTGTTTATAAATTGTACATCTATCTGCCTTAGAGGTGACCTTGCTTCTTACAATCTTGAATCTGGTAATCAAATGTGCAAAAAACTCTTTTTACTACATTTTACTTTGCCTTTCATTACAGGTCAAATAAATGTTTTGCATTGGATGAGTATTAAGTTTTCCTTGTCCTCCTTTTCCTTATCCATAAATTCAACACTGGAGCATTTGATGCACACATATTCTGTTGCCTCCTTGTAATTTTAGTGTAATCAAAATCTCATCTGCGGGTCTCATAGCGGGTTCATTATAGCGTTGTGGTGAGAAGCTAATCTTTGAGGTGTTCTTTATTAATTGGTCGCCCAGAGGGGTTTGTTGACAGGAAATAAGAGGCTGTTGTTCTCTGGCAACACAATACTAATTAAACTGTTGACTAGGAGACAGTGTATGCGACAACTACATGAGCCCCGTGCATATTCCCCTCTCAACAAGCTTAGGGTGTTTAACTTGATACTTTTGTTGGCATTGTGGACACAAGGGAACAAGCACCCTAGCCATTTGAGAAGACACACAAGTTAGAGTTGAATAATGTTAATCGTTTGGCCATCAACATTCATTTTGAAACAACTGGAAAGGCACTAACCTTTCCTGGCTGTAATTCAAAGGTGGGGTACCGAACTCTGTTATGGTTGGACCTTTTGTCACATTTTGTTGAGCCAGGTGAGTCACTATGCTTGGAGCTGAGAGCACATTGTCTGAGCAAGTGTGGCCTGAGCTTGTGAAAGCAAACTTTTGCACCAAACCAAAAAGACATTAGTTAGATGAATTGTACATTGTTCCATCTTTTGTGCAAATTCATTGTTATAATTTTACATGTGATCATAAATCTTGACAGAATGTGAAAAATGTCAAGTTCTGGCACAACCCCAACCTGCTAAAATAGATTAGCTCTTGTAAGGATAATACCAATTTGATTAATGATGTACATTCATCCCAAAACTGCCTGAGAGGAGGAAGTGACAGCACTTCCTGGTTCAACAAAATGTATTTGGAAAAATGAGCAAAACCATAGTATAGAGAGATTTATTAGATAAAAACATATGTTTAAGAATATGGCTCAATAAAAGCAAATATGCAAACATATTTGTAAAATAGATTAGAATAGTTTTAGTGCATACATTACAGACGAGGTTGATGAAGAATCAGAATGACACAGCAGTAGTCATCAAAATAGTATTTAAGGAATGGTAAAAATGTGGTTTGTTGTGTGTTGTATTCTTTCTGTATTAACTCTTCACAGATATCGAGCCAGAACTAGGATGATGGAATCTCCCCAGTCCTGTCACCCGAGAAGGGTTATTGAAAGATTGTGACCTAAATTGTTCTAATATAGGTCAAGAGTGGGAAATGTTGTATTAAATATAGACTAAAGGCAGATTGTGAATTTGATTGACCCCGGAATTGAACTCTGTCTCTTTCCCAAGCAAAAAGACCTGGTACTCCCCTTGTTCCTTGGTAGTCCAAAAGTGCAGAAATATGAGTTAATGATAGTTAATCTGGGGGGATTCTGCTAATCCTTTCGTTGTTTGAAGAAGGAGGTGGACCTTGAAAAGCCTCCTGTCTTATCTCAAGGAAGTAATATTTCTATAAAATTAGAAACATACATTTTGTTAAGTCTGTATTTGGCTACAGCCTCTGCCCTGATGTCACACGACCGTCTGTCAATGTCGTTTATGTTTTGCCCAATTGGAAAAAGGATTGACAGGCTGCACCATGCCCAGGGAAGTGGGCATTTCTTGTGTTCTAATGTTTCTTTTTCAGATAAAGGATAAACTACACCTGCTTCAGGGATAACACAGTAGCACGGATCATAAAGGAAATGAGCCTCTACGTTGGCACCAAAGCCCACAATACCAATTGAGGACGATCCGGGAGGAACAACTGGAGATGATTGGAACAGTAATTTATACACACACACAGACGCATGTTTATATACTTGGCCCAATGACCAAAGAGGAGGGAGTATTGTAATGTTATTGTCATAGGTGGTCATGGTCCTTAACCTTCTAAATCATTAGAAAGAAGTGTAAAACATATATTTACAAGAATAAATAAATAATAGAAAGAGCAGCCTAAAAGCAAAATGGGAAAATTATTAAGTAATTTTCGGAGTTGCCAAAATAAAATAAAATTCTTTATTTGTCCCATAGTCGCTTGGGGTATATCTCTATCAGTTTTGCACATCGAGAGACTGGAATTCTTGCCCATTCTTCCTTGCAAAACAGCTCGAGCTCAGTGAGGTTGGATGGAGAGCGTTTGTGAACAGCAGTGTTCAGCTTTTTCCACAGATTCTCGATTGGATTCAGGTCTGGACTTTGACTTGGCCATTCTAACACCTGGATACGTCTATTTGTGAACCATTCCATTGTAGATTTGGCTTTACGTTTTGGATCATTGTCCTGTTGGAAGATAAATCTCCGTCCCAGTCTCAGGTCTTTTGCAGACTCCAACAGGTTTTCTTTCAGAATGGTCCTGTATTTGGCTCCATCCATCTTCCCATCAATTTTAGCCATCTTCCCTGTCCCTGCTGGGACAGGGAAGATATGTTTGCTTTTACGCCAAACATATCGTTTTGCATTGTGGCCAAAAAGTTTGATTTTGGTTTCATCTGACCAGAGCACCTTCTTCCACATGTTTGGTGTGTCTCCCAGGTGGCTTGTGGCAAACTTTAAACAAGACTTTTTATGGATATCTTTGAGAAATGGCTTTCTTCTTGCCACTCTTCCATAAAGCAAAGGAAGGTTTCTCACCCATCATCTGTACTTCTTAGCAAGTTTTCCCGACGTTTCGTCCTCAACCTAGCGGACTTCTTCAGGGAATGAATTCTCGGACCGCGCGTTGGAGATTTATAACCTATGGGTGTGGTTAGCCACACCCTAATCCTGATACTAACTCATAAACAATCTACGGTCTGCTTGATGTAGAAGGGAGCAGATCTAACGACCCTGCTGAGGCTAACGACCCTAACTCCTTAGCATGTCACAGACCTATTGTCTGCTGGGATGCTCAAGTGGAGTGCAGGTCTCACCCCTCCTAACTCATTAGCATGTCACTGACCTTGTCCCAAGTTAGGGCGTTGTTTTTAGGATGTCGTCATAGATGCGAGGCAAAACAAATCTTAACCCTCCTCCTCTGTTAAGAGAAGGTTTTTGTTTCCTCACAAAAATGGCTTCTTTCACTCCTCTCTCAAACCAATTCTTCTCCCGAGCCAGAATTTTAACCTCTGTCATCCACCGTGTGGTTGGAGGCCTTGAGGTGGAGATGAACAGCC